GCAGGGAAGGGGCCGTGAGAGAGGGAGACAGAGAATCTCAAAGGCTCTAATCTGTCAGTGCAGCCGCACTGAGCCCAACACGGGGTTTGAACCCACGAACCATGAGATTGTGACCTGAGCCAAAATCAAGACTTGGACCCCCAACTGACTGAGCCACACAGGTACCCGTAACTTGCATTTTTTAATGTTTATTTTATTTATTTTGCGTTTTTTAATGCTTATTTTATTTATTTTTTAGGGAGAGAGAGAGCACAAGCAGTGGAGGGGCAAAGATACAGAAAGAGACACAGAATCTGACTGAAGCAGGCTCTAGGCTCCGAACTGTCAGCACAGAGCCCAAGGCAGGGCACGAACCCACGAACCATGAGATCGTGACCTGAGCCAAAGTCGGACGCTTGGAACCAACTGAGACACCGAGGCGCCCCTCTATCTGGCATTTTTGAACTTAAATTCTTTCTGGAACAAGGCAGAATAAACTAATATGTGTACAGTCCCAGAGATGAAAACATTATCCTATTTTTCTCTAGAGAAGATATATCCTCAGTGTTTCCCCGTAACCCATTCCTGGCTGAATCCAAAGTACCACAAAGCACAGCTTACAAAAGGAAATATGTTCCTTCTGGTTCTTCGGCTCAACTTCATGCAATTCAGTCAAGTCAAATAAAAGCATGCACAGGTGTGCCTGTATTTTCCTCACAGGATTTAGGAACAAGGCTCAAAGAAGCAAGTCCAGATGTGTGCCTTGCTTTATTCAGTCAATGTGCTACTGAAAAGCTACGTGTAAAATGAGTCATGTAAACAGAATCAAAATTTAAATTTACTTGAGATGCTCGCTATTTAAGGGAACATGGCAAATCAATGACGTAATTTGGGGGTAAAGGAAGCAATCATTCCAAAATTTATCTACACCGTAATCCTAGATTTATCAACGGAGGCTATTCAAAAGTGTGCCATTAGAAAACCCTTCTCAGATTCTACTGCACATAAATACAACATCTTCTTAATTTGTTTCAGCACTTCTAAACGGAACTCACGTTCAAAACCAAACAGAAAGATCAAATGAATATTAAATGCCAAAACACTGTTCTCATCAAATTTACACCAGAAATTATTAGCACCTCAAATGTGAGGATGTTCGTGAAGCCTTGTCAATTCCCTGCCAGCCCTCCTTCCCTGACAGCACAGGGTATCAAGTGGGATTCAAGGAGATTAAGGCAAGGATCCTGCTCTTGTCCTCAAAGAACTTCCTGCCTACTTAATGAGCGACTTCCTTCTGTTCCTTTTCCCATTTTTTCATTATTACAAGAATATCTATTACTGACATGAGACATGTTTTTCTTCTTCGATCCAGGTTTTTATTTTTTTTCCTCTTTAGATCTGCTTGTGTTTTATAAATTCCCAGGCAAGTGATAATTTTCACTAATTTGCTTTATAAAATTCCTAACAAATAACTACAAAGAAAAGGGAACATAGAAGAAATATATGCAGAGATGGAAAAAGAAAACAAACTCTGAAGAAGATTTAAGGCTCATCACCATACAAATATCTACACTTAATACTAAATATTATTAATCTGAAATGCTGGATGAAAACTCCTTCTGAATTATTTACAGATCTGTATTTTTAAGCAATTCAGTTTACCTCAAGTGCAAAGACAGTAAGTCAAACTGGGCTAATCAAAGGTCGCTTACTGGACATCCTAGGAGATTTAACTTTAACGAATTAATAGATTTGTAATTTGCTTCTCAACAATTTGAGGATAAATAAGATATTTCAGAAAGCTGTTTTCATGGAGGTTATGCCTCAGTTTTCCAGTATTTCTTACATTACTATTTTTTTCCTCAAATCATTTCTTACAAACACTGAAAATGTAAATGTTAGCCAATTTATATCCTAAAATTATCACAATCTCTACATAAGTATGATCAGACTGAAACTACCTTATGAATGAATTAGCAATGAACCATGACTTCGAGCAAAAAGAAGACAGTACTGTTTAAGCTATTCAACAAAATGTGAGCTAAGCTCTACATTTATAAGCAAATACTTTCTAGAACATCTGATAGATCAATTTTTTAATGTTTATTTATTTTTAAGAGAGAGAGAGAGAGAGAGAGAGAGCGAGCAAGAGAGCACAAGTGGGGGAGGGGTAGAAAGAAAGGGAGACACAGAATCCGAAGCAGGCTCCAGGCTCAGAGCTCTCAGCACAGAGCCCGACGTATGGTCGGAACCCACGAATCATGAGATCATGACCTGAGCCAAAGTTGGAAGCTTAACTGACTGAGCCACCCAGGCGCCCCTGGTAGATCAATGTTTTAAATGGTCCATTGTTTAGTTTTCCTTATTTATTATCTGTCACATCCTGTGTACTTAACCTGCTCACAGGTATTTATGCTAATCCATTAGCTCCCACAGGGTGGGAAGGGCAGCCTTGATCATCTTAAAGCACTGATGCATAGCTTCCTGGGTCAGAGACAGATAAATCTTTTAGTATAATTGCATGTTGCTTTATGTGCTGCTGTCTTCCTGCTGGGAAAGTGTTAAAATATTTAAGGTTTATTTTCTGGTGTGACACTGGTTTTATAATTAAAGTCTGGGGTGAGAGGAGAGAATGGCAGAATTTAGTACTTTATTTTAGTAGGAACAATCTTTCTTCAAATTAGTAAGCTTTTAGAGAGAGAGAGTCAGTAAAAGTAAAAGTTCTGGGTGGATCAGAGCTGGCTGAGTCCTTCTGAGACCACTCGTGACAGCCATCTAAAGACAGTATAGTTTAATTAAGATAGAGCTAGAAGAATAAGGGAGATTGTATAGATCACAAAGATCAGGATTGTCATCGGTGAGAAAAGAAACTAAACCGATCCTCAACCCTAAATACATCGCTGCTAAATACGCTATGCTCCAATACAATGACTTTTTGGCTCTCTCCATACTTGTCTACATATCCGATGGCCGGTGAGAACAGTTTTGTTCCTAATTAGTGCGCTATCTGCAGCTGGAACTGTCTGATTGGCAAGCAAGCTGAGCGTTCCTTCCCCCCATTCCTCTAGCGCACACACTCCCCTAACATTCTCCTCCTCCTCTGCATGAAATGAGAAAACTCTAGCCAGTGTGGGGAGCTGGGGAGGGAAGGGTGTGGGTTGGAGAGAACATCTGGGTTTTATCACCTGATGTGACAGGATCTGCATTTGCTTTGAATTCCAAATCTTAATGTTGTTCTGCAGACTTGCGTTTCCTGGTACAAACGACAGATACTCTCGCACTAACACTCTCCATGGCCCACAGCCCCGGGGCTCTCCCAGGAAAGAGGAGCTCAGTACCGTGGCTAAGGACAAATTATTCCTGAACACGAATCTAGCCAGCGACATCATTTTGATGAGACACGTAATTTAGAACTTGACTGAAATCTACTCAATTACCGTGTTTGAACGGAAAGCATACGTAGAGCAGCAGCCTGGCAGACAAAGTAAAGACGTGGATGCACGTTGTGTATGTGCCCATGCCCAGGAGAGGTCTGGCTCAGTCAGCATCGTGTGGCAGGAAAACCACAAGCAGCTATAAAGGCCACACACTCCGGGGCCGACCAGGCTGTGAAGCTGGAAGAGAAGCAAAGGGTCCTTAGCAAGATCCTACTCGGGGGGCACAAGAGACTGTGCAGAGGGTCTATGAGAATGAATCTGTGGTTTGCAACGGGCCAGTCAAGTCTCAATGTAAGTGAATCCACTACCAGCGACTGTTTAGAAAACGAATTAAGGACGGTTAAATCTCTTGGCTATTTAAGTGATTCTCATCTGGAGGTGTGGTTCGGGGAAGGCGTCCCCTGGAAACTATGATCAGAAAGAAGTGTTTAGTGTGAAAAAATCTGTTCCAGATGATTTTGTTTGTATGTTTTGTGTTTAAATCCAGACTATTAAGTCTAGACACTGGAAATTAAACTACAGGTCAGCAAAAAAAAAAAAAAAAAAAAAGAACACCCAAGCAGGAAAAAGCTGTCCTATCCCTTTGCCTTTATTAAATGGGTACAATCCACTTTTTTCAAATCTATGTTTTACAGTGATTTTCTCCACAACAAAACCTCTTCTCATGATACACACAACTGGAAGAGAAAAATCAAATGTAATAACGAAACAATTAAATGTGTAAGCTTAACACGTCTGTGCTGACACACGCAAGGCTCAGGAGGAGACGACTGGGAAGGCCGCAGAAAGGCTGAGCATGAGCAGAGACAGAAACTTGCTACCTGGGCCAAATCCCAAGCCACCGCTTCCACATCTCTCCCCAAAGTGTGATACTGTATATAAGCACAGAGTCAATAGTACTGAACTACAGGAGCATTTGCTACCGCCACACTAGTGAAAACCACAGTAATTACCACTCTTACTAGTAACCAATCAAAGAATCTCCTTCATACCAAAGCAGTGTAAATGGCTCTTGACAGGAAGCCAGTTTTGCAGGCAAAACAGCCATACATTTGCAGCAATTCAGCCAGAAGTACACACATAGAGCCGGCGGGGAAAGGGCCAATGTCTTCCATGCAGAAATTAAACATAAGATAAGCTCATAAATGCATGTATTATTTTTCATCATTATTTTAACGTTAATTAGCCAAACAAATCCAAACTCAGATCAAGATACAAAGCCAATATAAAAGAGAAAGATGGCATCTTTAATCCCAAAAGATATGACCTCAAGCTTTCTCGTCAGGCAGCTTTCAAACGCCTCTCTCTATCCAACCCCAAAAGCGTGTAGACCAGCTGTGCTGCTTCTTCTGAACAAGGACTCAACATTCCCAGCAGGCTCATTCCTGAGCCAGAAGAAGGAGTCTTCTCTCACTGCTCTAGTCACCTTTCAAGGCCTGAATTCCACTTGGGAGGAACTGGTCTAATTCTTCCCCCGGATGCTTAAGTAGGCAGTGGGCTATGGAAGTGCCTCAGATGCCATCACCCCCCAACATCCTCACCCCGAGTAGCCCTGGTTGTGAGAAGTGAATCACAACACTCTCCTCTTTGCTCTCCTGCAGTGAAGCATGCCCATGGACGTAGCGGTCATTTGTTTGGCCTGGGTCTGCGCTCAGAGGGAGGACTTGTGCTTTTAGAGAAGCTCGCCTTCCCTTCCTAACCCATTTCTAAGGCAGAGAGGCAGTGAGGACCCAGGGAGTCACAAAGACAACCAAAGAGGCATAGAAAACCAGCAAGGTGGGAACCAGCAATTCCTAAATCCATGGCAACAGCACGTCTCTCAGGCCCTCTGCCTTCTTTTCCCCTCCATCCCGAGGGCTGGACTGATAGCATCCGCCTTAACTCTTCGTGAAAGATGAGAAAGGATGCCACAAGTGAGTTCAGTTCTCATAGAAGGAGAGGGAGAAAGGAGTATTTAATACTGATCAGGTATAATCATACATTTTTGGTGTTGAGCCAGATATACATGCGGGCATTTCTGTAGCAATCTGTAAGAAGCTTTATAAATGTATCTATTTCAAAATAATGAGCTTTAAGTTATTAGTTCTCTGACATAGCCTTTATTCATTCCCATTTCATCTTTTGAAAATGATATCCAAAATGGCAAAAACCTTCAGGCTATCAGAACACCAAAACACAAAGTCCCTGGATTCCGTTCCCTACTACCCAGGAATCAGCTCTAAAGGGAGAAGTCCTCACCAAGAGATGAACTCCTTACCCAGGGATCTGTCGGAACTCTAATCTGAAAGTAACAGAACCAAGTGAAGTGGTGTGATAAAATGGGAAGGTAATGATTATGTTTAAATTTACAAAGGCAGAGTACTAATTAGTGACAAATCTGACTGTGGAATTATTTTAATGGCATGCACCTTTTATTGCTTTCAAATGCACGGAGTAAACTGAACAAGCTACGACTTTGTTAGATAATGAAACACAGCTAAAAATTTATGTGTAACTGGTACATTTTAAACTAGTATTTAAAAGCTATTTACCTCTCAGAAAAAATATTCTTTTAAGTCATTAAGTGGCAACCATCCATTTTAATTCTGTTCTTGGTCTAATGATCACAAATTTCAAGTAAGTAGGCTCCAAAACAATGAAGCTTCACTGGTTCAATTAGAAACACCAGTTTGAGGGTTTCCTGAGAAGATTACAATAGGATAAATTAAATCTATCTATAGAAACACTGGAGTATAGAATATCCTATGTAGTATATTTGTACATAGGAAACATGGAAAGATTTCTAAGTCATATTAGTAAGTAAAAACAAGGATGTTAAAGACAGACTGAAAGATAGATAGATGATAGACAGATAATAGATAGATAGATAGATAGATAGATAGATAGATATAATACTATGTTACTCATCAGAACAGCACAAAACAATTCTCAGTTTTTCTTACTGGGTGTGTGTCCATGAATGTGTGTATAATCTTATTTATTTACCTACATACTTACTTATTCACTTATTTATCTTAACTAAGCTCTATGCCCAATGTGGAGCTTGAACCCAAAACCTGGAGATTAAGAGTCGCACACTCTACCAACTGAGACAGACAGGTGCCTGTGTGTGTAATCTTTAAGGTCACGTGCCAGAAAGCTACTGGCAACGGTTACTTCTGGGTGGGGGAGAGGAAATAGGGATTGGGAACAACAACAATGATCAAGTGGGATTTCAGCTTTGTATGGATTTATTTTTAATAAAGTGATTGTGTTTATGTGTTATTTTTGCAATTAAAAACTAATTTTTAAACTTAAGGTTGTTGATAGCCCTCTGTACCTAATCACAAACAGGAATTGCTGAGTATTATAGAAGCCTCACACCTAAAGGTGCTAGGAAAACACTGCGGTAGATGCTGTAGAAGTTCCTCAGTATTTCCATTTGCGTTCAGTCTCATAAGATCCATGTCTCAGCCACAATTTCTCAAAAAGAAATCAAGTGTCATGATTGGCAAACTGACCATGGTCTAGGTCATTAACACCAGAGGGACGGATATCTAGAAAGAATCACACTAAATTAAGAAGTAGTCTGCAGCTCTTAAAACTTACTTGGATACTTCTGAGAGTCAAGCTAATTCTGAGTAAAATACTTTTTTGCAAATAAAACAGGAGAAAATCTTGCCTTTCTTTTTTAGTGGCTTGATAAAAAGGCTGGAAACATATACTAGAAGGAATAGTTATTAAAAATTACAGTAAGGCTTCTGGCAATGGTGAAGCACGTCCTATCATAAGAACAGTCTACATGTAACAACTATAAACTCTACATAAAATAGGAAAACAACTATCTGAAGGCACCGGACAGTAATGAAAAGCAGAGAGAAGTTGGAGGGGAGTCAACACCTGAAATAAATGAACACCACTAGGTGAGATTCTTGTTCCTAAGGCCTTTTGGCTGAACAGTCTGTGCCACCTGGGACAACTAGAAGAAACAGAAGAAAGTATAAAGTATCCCAGTGAGAACCATAGAATGGAAAACCTAAATTTACTGCATAAAGAGTACCTGAATCTCTGGCTGATCCCTGAAATCCTCATGCATCAGGTCAAGCCAAGGCTAAAGTCAAAGTAGCCAAGTTAAGGCTAAAGGGACTGAATGACTGCCCTTCACGTTAGTAACAAAATTAGAGCATGAGTTCAGCCACGTTAATAGCTTCCTAAAACAAACAAAAGTCAGTAGCCCTCAGAGGAATATAACAGAATCCAGCATCCTATAACATATGAAAAATGTTCAGGATAAAATCCAAAATTACTAGACATATTAAAAAAAGATGAAAGTGACTTGTTCTCAAAAAACAAAAACAAAAACAAAAACAAAAACAAAAAACAGAAAAACCATGCAGTCAATGGAGACCAACCCAAGATGATCCAGATGTTGTAATAACTAAATAAGGATATTTTTAATCAGGCTTCATAACTATACCCAAGGAAGGAAAGTATAATATGCTTGTAAAAAAAAAAATAAATAAGAAATATCACCAGAGAATTGTGTTTTAAAAAAAACAAAAAGAGGGGCTCCTGGGTGGCTCAGTCAGTTAAGCATCTAACTCTTGACTTCAGCTCAGGTCATGATCTCACAGTTCGTGCGTTCAAACCCAGCATCAAGCTCTTTGCTGACAGAGCAGAACCTGCTTGGAAATTCTGTCTCCCTCTCTTTATGTCCCTCCGTCACTTGCCCTCTATCTCTCGCTCAACATACATTTAAAAAAATAATAAACTTAAAAAAAAAAGAATGAACTGGAAATTCTAAAACTAAAAACTATCATATCTGTAATAATAAATTCACTGGATGGCTCAACAGCAGATTATAAACATTCGGAAAATTCCAATCTAAAAAACCATCTAATCTAAAGAACAGAGAGAATACTGAATAAAACTTCAGAAAGCCTGAGAGACTTATGAAAAAACATCAAAAGGTCAAACATATTTGTAATCGGAGTCCCAAAGAAAGAACACAAAGAGAAAGAAAATACAACAAAAAAAATTCCTTGAAAATACATTACCAAACTTTCCTAAATTTGGCAAAAGATATAAAAATATATAGTCAAGAAGTTCAGCAAACCTCAAGTAGTGGAAACAAAGAAAACAACATTTACGAATCACACTCAATCTGGTGGAAAACAAAGATGAGAAGACCTTGAAAGCAGCCAGGGAAAAATATACTGTGCCTACACATGGCAACACAGAGGAAAATTATTCTGAGTTCTTCTCAGGAACTATGGAGGCTGGAAGACAGTGGAACAACATCCTTAAAGTGCTATCATAGGCAGAATAACGATTCCCTCAAACACGTTCAAGTCCTAAACAGACCCAATGACTACGTTAAATTAAGTGGGAAAAGGCAATTACGAGTTCAGATAGAAGCGAGGGTACTAATAATCAGCTGACCTTGAGATGGGAGACTCCCTGGATCACCTGGCCAGCTGGCCCCCATATTACCACAAGGGTCCTCCTAAGTAAAGAGGAAGGCAGAAAAGAGAGAGCAAGAGAAATGAAAACAGCAAAGACCCAGCCTGATGTTGCTGGCTTTGATGATGGGCCCAGGCTTCTAGGCAGTCTCTAGAAGCTGGAGAGGTAAGGAAGCAGAGTTTCTCCTAGAATCTCTGGAAGGAACATAACACTGCCAGCTCCTTGATTTTAGGCTGCTGAGATCAATTTTGGACTTCCGACTTCCAGAAATTAAAAAAAAAAAAATGCATTGCTTTATATCACTAAGTTTATGGTAATTTGGTACAGCAACACTAGAAAACTAAAAGGGAAAAAAGAGGATGGGGGGAACTGTCAGCCTATAATTCTCTACCTAGCAAAACTATTCTTCAAGAACAAAGGCAAAATACATTTTCATATAAAAGAAAAGAGAATTCACTGCCAGCAGACCTGCACACCGCAAGACCTAAATGATGTTCTTTAGGATGAAGGAAAAATGATCCCAGATGGGAACTTGGAACTTCATGGAAGAATGAACAGCACTGGCAACAACAACTGTGTAGGTAAACATAAAAGACACTTTCCACCCTCTGCATTTCTTCAAAATACACATGACTATTTAAACAAAATGCTAAAACATTGTATTGTAAGTTTCTAAAGTATGCAAATGTAATACATACAACATTATAAAGACTATAAAGATGGAAGAAGGATTCTACATTTTACATGAAATGGTAACATTTTACTCTAAGTAGATGGTGAAACTTTAACTATGTGTATTGTAATCCCTAGAGAAACCACTAAAAAAGAATACAAAGAGGTACAGACAGAAAGTCAAAAGTTAATATCTAATTAAAAAAAAAAAAAAAACAAAAACAACCTTTCAATTGATCCAGGGAAGGCAAGAAAGGAGGAAAAGAGGAACAAAAAACAAACAACAAACGAAATATAAAATGGCAGACCCAAAAGGTACAATAACCACAGTAAAATTAAGCAGCATTTCCCAAAATAAGTGACTACAGACTAAATACTTGTTCCTCCATAAAATTCATACGTTGAAGCTTTAATTCCCATCATGATGATATTTGGAAGTGGGGCTTTTGGGAGGTGATTAGGTCATAAGGGTGGAGCCTTCATAGACAAGATTAGTGCCTTTCTTTCTAAGAAGAGAGAAGATTCTCTTTCTCCAGCACGGGAGGACACAGGAAGAAGGCCGCCATCTGCAAGGCAGGAAGGGGGCCCTCACCACACGCTGAGCCCACTAGCATCCAGGGTTTTGATTTCCCACGCTCCAGAACTATGAAACAAATATCCACAGCTTAAGACATGTGGTCTAACATAATTGTCATAGTGGCCCAGACTGACTAAGACAGGAGTACTCTTTGAAAAAAAGTGCTCTGCCATCGTGTAAGAAACACTGAGATAAACAAAGTTGCACAAGAGGTTTTTTTTTTTTTTTTTTAGAGCAGAATTTCTCCTCCTTTACTACACGAATGTACACTGGGACCCTCGGGGGCTTACACCAGACAGCATCTCCCAAAGCCCTCATCTTAACACCATCACATAGGGTTTCCATGGAAAATACTATCAGAAACGCTACTGTGACGTCTCAGCAAGGATCTCATCCGTTCCTTGCCAATATGTTCATTTGCATAAGAGGCAGATTCAAACATGTACAAAAATACCTGACTCCATTAAAATGTCTCAGCTTTCTATTTTTTTATTCAATTAAATAAGAATGGAGCCATAAAAAGAAGACACCAAAAGGCAAGGTAACAAATCCACCTCTGGTTCTGCCATCGTCTCTGTTCCTAATTCTCACTGAGGGGAAAAAAGAAAAAATGCCTGAGCTGGGACTTCATTGTCTACATATTCAGGCAAGCAATGATTCCTCAGTGTCTCCTATCTGCTCACCTACACTGAAACGTGTTGCCAATAGAAACACCAGAGGCAGAGGAATGCTAAGGTATGTTTCAGTGTCTTTCTAAAATACCTCATTTTATTCAGGGCAGAATCAAATTTGATTCGATGTCACTTGTCTGGGTCCTAAAAAACAGTTCAAAATATAGCTAGTAATTTAAGAACATTAATGGTATTGGCTGAAATATTGAAAACGAAACAAAACAAACAAAAAAAGCCAGGGCACCTGGGAGGCTCAGTCGGTTAAGTGTCTGAGTCTTTTTTTTTAATATATATATTTTTTTTCAACGTTTATTTATTTTTGGGACAGAGAGAGACAGAGCATGAAAGGGGGAGGGGCAGAGAGAGAGGGACACACAGAATCGGAAACAGGCTCCAGGCTCTGAGCCATCAGCCCAGAGCCCAACACGGGACTCGAACTCACGGACCGCGAGATCGTGACCTGAGCTGAAGTCAGACGCTTAACCGACTGAGCCACCCAGGCGCCCCCTGGCCATACTTTTAACAAAGAACTTTTATAGATAAACATTCTTATCAACATATAGTTGTTAAACTTAATCGTATTAAATAAGAATAAGTTGTATTCTTTTTTTAATGTTTATTTATTTTTGAGACGGAGACGGAGAGTGAACAGGGGAGGGGCAGAGAGAGAGGGAGACACAGAATTGGAAGCAGGCTCCAGGCTCTGAGCCGTCAGCCCAGAGCCCGACGCGGGGCTCGAACTCACGGACCGAAGCGTCCGAGTCTTGAGGCTGGCTCAGGTCATGATCTCGCAGTTCGTGGGATGGAGTCTCGCATCAGGCTCTGCACTGACCATGGAGCCTGCTCAGAATTCTGTCTCTCCCTCTTTCTCTGCCCCTTCCCCACTCTCACACACACTCTTACTCTCTCAAGGCAAATGAATAAATATTTTTTAAAAATAAATCAAAGGTATGTCGGACACCTGCCCTTTTTGGCTCATTTATTTCAACTGCTTCCATCAGCATCCTATAATTTTTTGCCATGGTCAAGCTAGAAAAATTATTCAATTGTCTTCCCTTCAGTTAACGTAAAATGCAGAAAAGAGGCTTTGCTTTATAGTGAGTCTGCATTTATGGAATATATTTATGAGAAACTATCATTCGGCAGATCTAGATGGATATGAAGATGAGTAAGATAACCCGTATCCTCTCACACTTAACTACAAGATACAGGCTATAAACAAAAATGGACAGAACACAGGGCTGTCCTATGGAGCAGGAAGGAAGGAACTTTTTTTTTTTTTTCAGTTGGAGAATCAGGAGAAGCTGTGTAGAGAATCAAAAGGAGAAACAGGAGGCCAGGGAAGCACAGGGCTCTGGAAGGAAAGGCGGGAAGCCCGATGTGGCTGCTGCTAAGCCAGGGGAGAAATGGGGGCCATGGAATCTGGGGTCTGGATGCCAAGCTGGAGAGTGTGGACCCTACCTCAGAGGCAGCAGGGTTCACCGGAGATTTCTTCAAACTGTGGATTAACATGCTTCATCACTTACCAACGATATTCTTTGAGTTTTTATTATGTGCCAGCAACTATGCCCACAAGGAGTACAAAGCTGAACCCCACCAAGCCCCTGCTCAGGAAGACCACAGCTGAGCATGGCAGCTAAAAGCACCCACAGAAACAGCTTCCAAAGCAGCAGTGCGGTTCTGTCGGGCACACCTGCTGGGCTGGGCCTGTCCTGCCGAATCACAGCCCTCGGGTTTGCATGCGATGATGTTCACAGAAGAACAAATGATTCAAAATAATAAGAAGAGAGAAAGGAGAGATTGGAGGAATCAATTTTTGCTATAATCAGAATCCCCATAATCTAATAAAAGGTCGTAAAATAGTGCCAAATGACACCACTAGCCTGAGGCAAAAAGATTTTTTTTTTTTTTTGGGCAAAAATTAGTGCAGAACCTCTTGTGTAAACAATGCAGTGTTCCTTTCCTGTTCTGGTGATATTATTTAAAAAAGAAAACAACAGGGGCGCCTGGGTGGCGCAGTCGGTTAGGCGTCCGACTTCAGCCAGGTCACGATCTCGCGGTCCGTGAGTTCGAGCCCCGCGGCGGGCTCTGGGCTGATGGCTCGGAGCCTGGAGCCTGTTTCCGATTCTGTGTCTCCCTCTCTCTCTGCCCCTCCCCCGTTCATGCTCTGTCTCTCTCTGTCCCAAAAATAAATAAACGTTGAAAAAAAAAATTAAAAAAAAAAAAAAAGAAAAC